CCCTGCATAACCTCACAACATCCTTGTAGTCTTCCTGAGTTGCCTGCCCCTTCTTCCAAAGATGGCACTTTTTTTCCTTGAGTTCCAGCGGAAGCTCTCTGTTCAGCCAGGCTGGTCTTCTCCCCTGCCTGCTCGACTTATGGCACATGGGGACGGCCTGCTCCTGTGCCTTTGAGATTTCCTCCTTGAATAACATCCAGCCTTCCTGGACTCCTTTGCCCTTCAGGACTGCCTCCCAAGGGACTCTGTTTACCAGACTCCTAAACAATCCAAAGTCTTCCCTTCTGAAGTTCAGGGTAGCGGTTTTGCTGACCCCCTTCCTTACTTCTCCAAGAATTGAAAACTCTATCATTTCATGGTCACTGAGCCCAGGACAGCCTCCAACCACCACATCACCCACCAGACCTTCTCTGTTCATAAACAGCAGGTTCAGCGGGGCACCTCCCCTGGTTGGCTCACTTACTAGCTACATCATGAAGTTATCATCTTCCACACACTCCAGGAACCTCCAAGACTGCTTTCTGTCTGCTGTGTTGTATTTCCAGCAGATATCTGGTAAATTGAAGTCTTCCACGAGAACAACGGCTAGGGATTGTGAGACTTCAGCCAACCGCTTGTACAATACTTCATCTGTTTCTTCGTCCTGGTTGGGTGGTCTGTAACAGACTCCCACCAGGATATCTGCCTTATTAGCCTTCCCTCTGATCTTTACCCATAAGCACTCAACCTTATCATTACTGTCGTTAAGCTCTAGACAGTCAAAACACTCTCTAATGTACAAGGCTACCCCTCCCCCTCTCCTTCCTAGCCTGTCCCTTCTAAAGAGCTTGTAGCCATCCATTGCAGCACTCCAGTTGTGTGAGTTATCACATCATGTGAGAAGAAGGAAAAGAGAAAAATGTTTGATAGAGAGGGAATCTAGCAATGGCTGGGGTAGAAAAATTAGGATTTTAATAAGATACCTGAGTCATTGCTGTTCTTGAAAACTGAAGAAATAACAAGAATAATGTCACAAAGTACAGTACTCAAAATCTGGAGTGCCAGAACTGACGATGTATTTACAACCTTTTTCTGGCTGCCTTGTGCATATGCGGTATGATAGAGACTATAATGCCCAATACACACTGTTTTTCCCACAATATCTGTGACTGGAGCCTGTCCTAAAGGTAAATTAGGGTTGTATGGTGAAGGCAATTACTGGCTGTGAAACATCTGACACGGGTGTAATACAACCAGAAGGTGAGTGAATGAGACAGAATTATGCAAAGAGGAGAAAGTTGTCCCATGTTAAGGCAGCTGAACAAATGATTGTTTCCCAGAAAACTGGATTGCTTCCCTCGTGTCCTTTCAGGGAAGGACAGTTCTTGATAATGCCAGACAGGCTACACAGTATCAGTTTGCTTAAATGGTGTGCTCATCACTTTCTTGATGCCTGTTTTGATACTTGGCATAGGTAAAAGTGCTGAGTGTTTGCCAACATCAAATTAATCTGTACAGTGAACATATAAAAAGCTAAAAACATGTCAAAAACTCTTTAAAAAGTAACTTTATGTAGCCACCTTGTAACTGAGTATTGGGACTTAAGAGACATTTACTTTTCCTCTACACTCTTGCTATTCTGTAAGGTTCACAGGTGTTCTTATGGCTCTTAGTTAGTTGTTCTTGAAGTATTGGTGTCCTCTTAGGTGGTCTGGTTTTTTAAGTAACAGCAGTTACACTGTGGTTAAATTTTTCTAAATGAGCTCTCACGAGATGTTTCTGAGTAATTTGAAATGAAGTTGCTTTTCAAAAGACAGAAAAGCAAAAAGAAAAAAGTCTGTTTTCTCGTAACGTACAATTTCTAGATAACAATTACAATATAAATTAATTCTGTCCAAAGTTAATTTGTTCTTAATTCTTCTTGTTTTAACTGTGTGTTCCTAGAAGAAAATTGATGGGCTTTTCTGCCCTGTCATTATTGAAAAATTTTTGTAGAATTTTCTAGTGAAGTTTAGAACTAAAAGTATTTCTATGTTTTGTGCTGCAGGAAAAGGCCTCTCAGCCTTCTGAGATCTGAAAAACAATAAAATCTGATCTGCTTTTTATTGCTGTATGGAGAGAAAAAATCTCCGAAAGATAGGAAAAAGTACCTAGGAATGAGCTGCTAGGAATGGTTTCTGTTAATATGTAGCCTCATTTGCATTTTTCCATATAGTATGTTAGCTGCTACATGTCATATTAGTAAAAGTTTGCAGCTGGTGATCTTTTTATTTCTTTTTTTAAAGCACCTGAGTAATGGCACTACAGTAATTCATCCTGGATTGTTGTGGGTTTTGTTTTAGTACTGCAGCTACAGTCATCAGGCCAGTTAATGAAAACTGGTGCTTTTGGTAATCATTGCATTTTGGATCTTAGAGGATGCCACATGTTATCACTGTGTAAATATTGGAAGAAGGACAGGTTCAGAGTATTTTATCAATATTTTCTTTTCTTCTGCTTCCAACTACATTTTGGCCCTTTGGTTGTTCTGCTGTTTCATATGGTTGTAGAGTCAGAGTAGGCTTCTCAGGAAGCTACAAATGTGTATGATAATCTATTCTGGGAGCTGTCCCTGTTGGACCAGATGGCTCAGGTCCAGTGACTTTTTTGTCCTCCTTTGCAGCATCATGGAGGCATAGTTGGCTTGAAAGAAATAGGTCTTGAATGCTAGGGAAGTTAACGCCTTAGATTATTGCAGTTTAGACAGTTGTTCTGTGCAGAAGATGATAAATGACCAGCTGCCCCATATAACAGGGCCTGTGATTATCCTGGCCCTGGCTCGGGCCTTAGGATAAGGACATACCTGTGTTAAAGAGTACCCAACTTTAGGTGAACAATCTAAGTAAAAACAAAAAATAATTCCTTTGTCTTGCTATCAGCAAAGGCTCTTTTACCTGTTCAACATGTTCCCTAGGTTGGTGCCGATTGATACCTGTAAAAGACAAGCCAGATTCTCTCTGATCTGACTGATGTATGCTTTCTTTAGTAGGGAGCTGCTGGTAATCTTCCAGGTAGTACATGACGGGCTTCAGCCTGAGAGAGAAACACTGGCCTGTAAGGCTGTTGAGCTGCTATCGATCAGACCACTTCTAAGACAGCTCTGACTTAAGCAAGCAAAGGGATGAGAAGACTCCTTATTTTTTCTTAGGCTCAGGAAAATATCAAGTGGTTTTTAGTGAGCTTTTTCTGTCCTACTGGCTGTTGAGCAGGGGTAGTAGTTTGAGGTTGAAAAATCTGACCGTATGTGCTATATTGATTCAGAAGAATTGCTGTGACGGAGATGAGCAGGTGAAGATGGGACTTGTGACCAAACTATTGATTAACACCTGGTACACTTATCATTATGTAAAGTTTTAGATGTTTGCATAAAGGATAAATTGATGAGCAGCAACTTGTCTTTACAGATGCAAGAAAAATTTAAGCTAATTTAGCATATGTAATTATCTCGTCATAACTGAGGTCAGCACTATCCTTTCCTCTAGCAGACCATGAAAGTTTACCTGCAGTGGTATGTTAGAACAATTAATTTATTTTGAGGCTATAGATAGATAACATGTTAACCAGCTGCCTTTCAAAATATGTCCTTTTATTAGTGAACAGTCAGCCTGAGATGGACATTTGTAACACAAACCAAAACCAAACAAACAGGCAAAAGACATATTAGAATTATTCTGCACATGGAAAAGGAATTTTGTATGTTGTGTTCTTCCAGCCCATTGCATGAATCTATGTACTTTCCATTACCTCAAGGTTGCAGCTTGTGGCACCTGATGGGCAATAAAAATGATAACTGTTTACATCCACACATTTCCTCTTTCTGTTAGGAGGAATTATACTATCCTGAGTGGAAATTTTGAAAGCAAAGAAAAATAGGTGGAGAAAGACTTAACATATTCTTTTGACAATAACAAATAAAAAACCTTGAATTGGTATAAAAAACACATGAGGAACAGCATCCCGTAAAAGAAATGCTTCTCTTGCAATGCATATATGTTTGACCATTCTAGGCTCGTTTCTGTAAACAAAATAGTGGTGAATTTACATACTTCGAACATTAATGAGCTTTTATAAAAGCATGATAGGAATGCCATTTTCTTTGATTTGAAAAGCCATGGAATTCAATAAAGAATTCAGAAGTTCTAACACGTTCTTGAAGTGAGATTTTTGCGACTGTTGGTAAAAGGAGGTTTGCTCATGTAGAGCAGCATACAAACGAATTTATGTCCCTTCATCCTTCCAGACCTACACAGTGGTCAGGCATGTTTGGTATAGTAAGTTTCCCTGGATAGTATTGCTGTTCTTGCTAGAGTGTTTAGCAAGTCTTTGAGGATGAGAGTAGAGTACACTATATTTTTGGAGAGCTGGCTTGAGAGTTTTAAAAATGTAATGTAGTTTACGGTCAGTTTATAACAAAGATAACGTACACTACCTACTTGGTGTAGTCAGCCTAGTGGGAGATTTTACTGTGAAACTTCATCATTTCATGCTTTAATTAAAAAAATACATAAAGGTACTTGGAATGAAATGTATTTATTTAGTGCAGGTTTGATATTTTTGAAATGTGAAGCCTTGCTTCTAATTAATGATAGCTTAAAAAAACCCAAAGTAATTGATACTTTATCTTATTTAAGGTTTTGGTCAGATATGGATGAGATAAAGTGTTCTTGCTCAAACTAAACTTGAACACAGCAAATTTGGTACTTCTTTCTTCTTAACTACCCATTTCACATATTTATGAGTATTTGCTTAGAGCCTCCAGCAAACAACTTTTAGGAAAAAATGTGAGGGCCATCTTTTTCAGTCAAGAAAGGGAAGAGTAGGATATAAAACCACATTAACCTTATATCCCCAAAAGTCTGCCTTTCTGATATGTTTTCAGAAGTTTGCAGTACAAGCTCTAATTCATATACTACAGCTAGAAACTCTTAATGTAAATAGGAGATAAAATACTGAAAAAGCGCAGTTAGCATTATTGAATCATCTTTACTTGCAGAATTTGACATTTGAACTACAACTTTAAAAGCTGCGTTAAAGTAATTTTTTTTTGAAGAAGAAGAATTTCAAATATAATGCCCTACATGCAGAAAACATGAATACTTCTTATGAGGTCTCACTGAAGTTTAGCAGAGAAGCAATAGCAGAGATGTTTCATATTGTAATATATGTTAGGTTCCTTACAGAGAAATAAAAACGAATTGTGCTGCATACAACATTACGGAATTGTTGTCTAGAAATTAATCAATTCTTGCATTTCAGTTGTTTGGATGGCTCTTCTGTAAAATCCAGCCCAAAACATTGGTCTTTGCTATTTTAGCATTGATGGCAATAGAGGGATCAGCAAACCTTCAAACTCAGTGGAACATCATGGGAGAATTTAGCAATTTGCCACAGGAGGAACTCTTAGAGTGGATAAAAGTCAGTACCAGACAAGGTAAGCTATTTAATAACGTATGATGTTTCGCATTTACTGTGAGATGTAACTATAGAATTTGATATGAATGACTGCATAGGTGTTGCTACTATCTGTGGCTTTGCCATGCGACTGTCCTACAGCCATGGTTTAGTCACATATACTTGTCCATATAGAAGCTATCTCAAATGAAAAAACACCAAAAGCTTGCTTTGTTAGACTCCAGGCTACCAGTCTGGAGGTTCTAGCCACTGGTGTAGTATTTCTACAACAAAAGGGTTTTTGCAAAGTTCAGTTAAAACAGGTTTTTGCTTACATGACACTGTTCCTGTATGTGGGTCCATGATCATCATTTTGCTAGAAGAGAATTCAAAATCGATGTGTTGTGGTTGCTCCTGTCCTTTTATTAAAGTGAGTAAAAGTGTTAGAAAACTAGCTGGAAACAAAGTAGTTATCTGTTTAGCAGGAAAATCCTTTCAAGCTGAAGTGGACTGAGATTTTTATTGTTCATTTAACAATGGCATAAGAAGTGACAAAAAAAAGTGTTGTCATAATGAATAAGTAATTTTACCCGTTCAAGAAAAATAAGATGTATTAAATCTCCGTTCTTAGATGTTTAGTTATCTAATTACTTGTATTGAGTTCAAGGTTTTAAAAAACAAAAACAAACAAACAAAAAAAACCCCAACAAACCATAAAGCATGATTTCGTGCATCTCCTGTTGGTGCAATGTAAGGCCTTTTCAAAGAAAAGGCCCTTCCTTCATTACACCTTATGTTTTTCTACAGGATTACTGTTTAGATATTTGAAGATTGCTTCTCTGGTTTTACTGCTTGATTCTTTATTTCAAACATGCCTTTCATTCTGTATTTCAGATGCAGTTTTTGCAGGAGCAATGCCTACAATGGCAAGTGTTAAATTGTCTACACTTCGTCCTATTGTAAATCATCCTCACTATGAAGATGCAGGATTAAGGTGAATTTTGAAGCAGAGGATTTATTTTTTTATTTGCTATTAATTCTCTTAATGTTGGTAATATACAGTAGGAATGGCATCACATTATATTGTAAAATTTGTTAAGACCCCGTAGAACTTGATTTGTTCTTTTAGTCAGATGGAAAACACATGCAGTATTTCTTCACGATTTGTGTTCATCAGAAAGGATATACTGTAGGATAGATATGGCTTCAAACTTACATCCAAAAAAATCAGAATATAATTATGGAATTGAAATTAACATGTACTATTATATCCTTTCTTCATTCTAGTTACTCCTAGCATTGTAGACAGACTTGATTTTTTTCTAAAGATAGCCAGTTTCGTTATTCCTATTAGCTTTCTGTGACTGGTTGTAATTTTTTTCATGATAATATATCTAATTATTAAAATCCTAAGACTAGTTGAAAGTGAAATTTTGTAATGGAATTACTGAGTTTTGTACTTTGATATTTTCAAAATCAGGATATTTTTCTAAATTGAGATTGATTGATAAGGTCATGAATTTCTTTTTTAAATTTTAATATTGTAGCATCATTTTTGGGTAATTTGGTAAAACTGGTTAAAAACAACACAACAAGAAAACAACAAGATAGCGAGGGATAAAGGAGAAAAGGAGTGAATTCATTTTACATGCCTTATGTCCTTAGTTCTGTGTCTGGCATTAACTGGCTTTAACTTTTGGTCAGCCCTGAATTGGTCAGGCAGTTGGACTAGATGATCGTTGTAGGTCGCTTCCAACTGAAGCAGAATGTTCTGTTCTGTTCTATTCTATTCTATTCTAACTACAAAAATATAGGACAGGGCATGTTCAGGGAAATAAGCTAGAAATGATACAGTATCAGAAAATGAACAGGAGTTAACAACGTCAATGCTTTGCACAATCAAAGGAGGATATTACTGGGTAATATAAACAGGATCATGGTTTACAAGCAATGATTTTGCTTGACTCAGCGTAGGCAGACATGAAGTCTTGCACTCTGCATTTAAAAAAGTCCGAACAAGGGCAATGAGTATGAACTTTTGTGGAGAGACTGGGCAGATGATTTCTTCTGATCACCTCCGGTCCGAGCAAGGTCATTTCTAGCCTTGAATATTATATGGTGAATGCGTTGCTTTGACATCTTCACATTTTCTGTTCACAGTAACCATGGATCTTGTTATGAAGTTGTCTCCTGCTACAGAAAAATCAAAGGGCTCTATACATTTTTCTTGGAATCATTATATTTGTGAAGAAATAATAACATTAAAGCAACTGACATTATTACTTTGAACTTTGTTTTAGCCTAGTTGTCTTGTGAAATAAAAAGCCTTCCTGCCCAGTCTAAAGTTAAAGCTTACATTTTCATGCTTTGTTGCTAGCTAACTTTTCTATTTCTCTTTTTGAAGGGCCAGAACTAAAGTAGTGTATTCCATGTACAGTCGAAAACCTGCAAAAGAAGTAAAAAGAGAATTGATAAAGCTAGGAGTGAATTATTATATTCTGGAAGAGTCATTGTGTGTAAGCAGAAAAAAGTGAGTAATCTCTCTCTCACAAGAATGATATGCCGCTCAAATATGTAGTCTAAGATTCATATCAAGAAGTAGTTTTGAAATGTTGATCTGTGCTTTATTAAGTGTCCAAAATAGATTTTTGTCCAGTGTCTCCAGATATTAATAAGTATAATTAACTTTACCCACATTAGCAACCTTGTGGTCTTTGTGTGCATCTGAAAACCTGTGTTGTGTGTATTTTTAAACTTCACTGTAAAATACAGAAGAGATCCACAAAGGAAACAAGTCATTATTCTGTGGTGGCAAGAACAGATGCGTGTGTATAATGAAAGCCTAGTAAGAATGAAAGGTGCAGAGTAAAAGATAGTTTGAGCACCAGAATGTTATGGCCATTGCTGGTCACTGAAGATTTTTGTCACATTTAAGCTGTCCTTAAGAAAAAGCTATGCACTTTTTTTTTTTTGCCCCCCCCTTTCTTTTTCCATTTTCTCTTTTTGGCCTTTAGAACATGATTTCTTTCTGGATTTTTTATTTTATTTTCTTTGCATTTAAAATAAAATGAAACGAATCTATTCTATTTTTTTGCTATTATCTTTGACAAATCAGGAAATTCTCAGTAATTCTAACTTTGAAAGATAACTGTACAGGGAATTGCTGTTGGTTATGTACCTTAATAAAAAAGCAAGAAGTTGTTACTTTTTTTTTTTTAAAAGGTGTTTTATTTCCTGAGTTTTCTTTAGAAATGTTAGGAGTGTGAACATCACTTTCCATTTTATAGGAAGTTTTAAGGGTCCCTGGTAATGTGTATTGTATAATTTGAGTTGTTCTATATGTTTCCTCCTCCAAATTAGTTGTTATTAATTATGTAACCACAAAAGCAGACAAATTTTAAACATTCTCAATACTATTTTTAAAATTACTACTATATTTATTGATTTTGTAATCTGATAAGAATTTCTAATACGAAGACAAACAAAAAAAAGTGACACAATCAAGCAATCAAAGATGGCACAATCAAGTATTCATAGGGGGGTTATAAAACTGAGTTCAGCAAACTATGTTTTTTGATGGCATTTCTTCATTTCTCTTTTTGTATTCATATGTTTTCTAGGCCTGGTTGCAGTATGCCTGAAATTTGGGATGTTGAAGATCCTGCTAATAGCGGCAAAATTCCTTTATGTACCCTTATGAGCAAGGATTCCAGGCCATATTTCATCACAGTATTTGAAAACAGCAATTACAGAGTTTTGAAGATTCCAAAGGAATAACATTTCAATGCAAAGAACCATCAGTCTTTCAACTTTTTAAACTAGTAACTACAAGAATTCTAAATCAGAAAGACCTTTTCTACTAGACTTAAAATGGAAAAACGTGTATTTTATTTTTTACCATTTTAAGTGAATTCTGATTATAGAAATATCTTAAACCTAACAGTTTGGATTTCTATTTCAGGGTCAGTCCCTTGAGATTTGCTATGCAAATGATTATATGTTTGCACATTTTATTTAACACTGATCCAAAAAGAGTTAAAAGTAGCTATGGAAAGTAACTCCATTCTCAAAACCAATGATATTGTGAAATGGGACTGTCAGAATGTCTTAGCAAAGCAAGTTTGTTTAAAGCTTTGGTGCTAGCAGCTAGGAAAAAAGGAATGGTGCTATAGCATCTGGCATGACATTTCTCATGTCACTTTCATTACCCATCTCCCCTCTGGACAAGGTGATACTAGCAATTCTCTTAAAAGTCACATAGTTTCACTAGTCATGTCAGAGAGAGATACGTTTTTTCTTTGAGAGGATTAAGAACATTTGTCATTTTGGATCGCTTAACACATGCTTTTAAGCTTGCTTTTGAAATGGAAAAGTTTGTAGACAGACTTGAAACTTCATTATTTAGGTGCATGTTCTTAGAATCTTATTGATATTAAAAAAGAAGACTAATAAGGGTAATATTTGCGGTGAGCAATAGTTTAGCTTCTCAGTGTCCAAGGATTTTTAGCATTCTTATTCATTCAGAATAAGCTGGCATAATATACATGAAATTTTTAAGGAAAAATGCTTTATTCAGGAGAAATCTGTCATAGCCTTAGAAAGATACTAAAATAAATCCTTCACTGCCTTAACTAGACCTTCAGCGCCTAACTTGGTAAGAAATTACTTTCAAAATTTATGCCCTATTTTCTTTCCCCATGTATTAGATCCTGCCTGCATTTTATCATCAGCATTAAAGAAAAATGAAATTTAACCCAATTGTGATATGGGTGTAGTCAGTTTTGTGGGTATAATTGCTCCAATAATATTAGACTGGTTCTGCAGTTTTTCTGTCATCTTGGTGTCACACGAACATTACCGGTGATAAAGAATTTAGAGAATTCACTTTCCAAGATACCCAGTGCAAGGACACCCTTTAGTTGTTTAACTGACTTGACAGAATTTTTGTATGTTTATTGCCATTGGGAAGTATCACAGTAATTGTGATTCTACAGTATAAGACTTCTAAAGTCTAATGTTTCTCTGTATATCATTCATGTTTTGTTTTTGGTTTGGCTTTTTTTTTTTTTTGTTCAGACATCAGTCTATTGATGTGACTGGTCTTTTTAGCCCTAATAGCATCTAGCAATATTAGATGCTATAGGAATAGCATCCATCATGCCTATAACAGTATCAATTAAATGGGAATCTATGATAAAGTAGTAGTGTAACAACTGATCAGTATTCTAAGACTTCTTATTTTTTTAAAATCTGTTTTATTGAGAGGGTGAGGGAGAATGGCTGAAAATGCATTAGCTTTTTAACTTTTACAGAATAGATTTTGGAAAAATTTCTATAAGGAAACTATCACAAAAAGGGCTTTTGGGAAGTCGCTTTTTAAAATGTTAATTGAATTCAAGGAAGCAGGAAAAAAAATCTTTATATAAACATTGTGACTAGTGTTACAGCACAAAAAGGTACTGTATTTTTATGAAGTTTATGCCAACTGTTGACATGTACTTATGTGGTTAAATAAAAAAGAAAAAGATGGAAATTGTTCTTATGTTTCTGATGGATGTTACATTTCTGCTCCGATGTCCATTAAACTGAAGTTTAATACGGTTTCCACAGCAGATACGACTGAAGCTGAACCCTCAACTAAACAAGGCAAGGAAGTGCTTCAGATAATTGAATCAAACTCACACACCTCTTTCCAGCCTCCGTTTTGTTTGGAATATCAGTGCAGGAATATGTGAAAAGAAAGTGAGAAGATGTCAAATACCTATCTGCACGCAAGGTGGACTTGGAAGGCAGTTCAAAATCATTCTCTTTTTGTTCTAAGTTTTTAAACTCAGGTAATCAAGAGTGAAGCCCAAATACTGGTAGAATGAAGAAACATTCGAAAATTAAGGTTCAAAGATGTACTTTAGTAAAAATGTTCCCCATTTGATGGATGAGGAGGCTGTTGTTACTGAGTAGATGGCCGGACCCTGTTTGTAAATGTTCAGCTTATGTTGAGGGATGTGATACTGTCCCTCTCTTTGAACTGGTCTTAAACCCAAATAAATATTGTCATCTAATGTTCAGATGATAAAAATCTAGCAATGGAAAAATATGAAGTAAAATATGCAGTATATGATTGTGGGGAAGAAACATGGGAATTCATGAATTGGGTGTATCATGTTATGAATTTCTTGTCCTCTCAGTAATTTGGTCTCAATTCCAAAGGAAAAAATTTGGGTTTAAATATAGAACATTTTACACAGAGGAGCACCATATTGATATTATGCTTATCACTGCAACTTGAACCAGAAAACGGAAGTTTGAGGTTCCTTAGCTCTCACTGAAGTTGTTTTCCCCTTTGCAAGGTCCTAATCAATAAATCTATAACTCAAGTAAGTTCATTTTAAATATGCGCTGGCCTAGATGTACTTTAGACACAGGACTGGAATACTTCAGTACCTGAAAACAGTTTCTGTTACATTCTGGTAATGCTGGATCCTATAGATTTATCTGTTGGAATCTGAAATATCGCTAGCTTTGAATGCAGTAAATTTCTTCATTACAAGGGGCACAATTACATTTCAGTATCAAATTTTGATAACGTGCAAACTGTAATATTTAGTATGGAGACCAAGTGAGGCACCTTGGTGAAACAAAGATGCTAAGTCCTATTCAGTACTGCCTTGCACTTCGCCATTCTCATCTACCATTTAAAAAAATGGCTTGGCTTTTGCCTTTTTTTGCAATTCAGCTTAAACAGCGAAACTACATCACTTGGTATCTCTTGGATTTTTCTGATTAACATATTGAATTCCATAAGCTAGGACTCACTTGAAGATAAGTAAAGAAAACTCCTTCAGCAAAAGCAAGTATGTAAGGAAGAGTATAAACACAGCATTGTCAGAAATCAGCATTGCTGAAAGCAATTACAAAATGCTAATTATGGCTTGGGACCTGTGTTTTCAGGTTGCATTGTTGCGTAGTTTCTATAGAACCATAGGATCATTTAGGTTGGAAAAGACCTTTGAAATCATTGAGTGCACCGTGTTAACGCTGTTGCGGCAACCTATAAACGCTGTTGTTTCACCTAAGTTACGTAATGTGAAGGCCTGCAGTAAAACAAAATTATATTTTTAAACCCAAAAGAATAAGGTGCTCCTGAGTTGTTGCAGCAGCTGGACAAAGGAATCCTAACTGATAGTAGTGCTTTTCTATGTAAGCTTTATTGTTGTACTATGAGGAAAGAGTAGGATGGCAGGTGTGGTGTGAAAGGAAGACTTTCCTGTTCGAATATTAATAGAGTTTAAATGTTAGGGAATAATTATACTTTGAGTGAAATTAAGACTGGGGACATAAAATGGCATGCAGAACTTCTCAATCTGAGAACTGGTCAGCTGTGCCTGAATCACCTGGGGAGTGAAACCTCTCAGTGCTGTGGTAAAACAGATTCTCAGCTGTAGCTCTATGACATGAATGCTTCTATTTCAGTACAAAATCAAACTTTACGATAAACTATCTGTAGCAGAGCTTTAAGCTGACCTGTTGGGTTGGAGCAGAGAAGTAGAAGGATTTACAGGGTTAGGCAGAATCCCCTTCCTTCTCAGCAAATTGGCTTGTTTCTGATCTTGTGCTGTAATTCTCCATTAGTGATGAAATACATACAATCTATGAAATTGTCAGTTGCTTGACTGGATTCATCATGTTCAACAACTTCATTCCTGTTACAGCATGTAAACATTTATTGGCAATAGATGATGAGATAATAGATATATACAGAGTGAATGTATGATACTAGTTTCATATCTGGCTGAGAACTCGGAGCAGGATAGCCGGCATTTCAGCAGCGATCGGTGATATCGTAAGATATTGAACTGATGCTAGCTGAGCCTTTGCAGGAATGTCAGGTCAACTTCCCTGGCCTTTGGATCGCGCATTACAGGTACTTGGCTTAAGGACCTCCCCTGCCACATCAGAAGTGCACAGGAATTCATTTCTTGTAAAATTTCTCATTTTCTGTTGCCTGAGAAGATACTGATTGATAACTGTGTAAAATGACTGCAGATGAGAGATCCCTGTGGCCAGTCTTCTACCCCGTCAAGATTGTCGATGTATAGATTGATTCCCGAGTGCAACCAGCACTTGTTTTGCCTGCTGGGCAGGAAGCATGAGATCTAGCTTTTAGGCTGAAGAATATGGAAATGCTTATTGGATCTCATGTAAGGATAATACTGAGCCTGAAAGAGAACAACTTCTAAAGGGAAAACTTCTGTCCTTTTGATGTTCATCTGGAAGGAAACAAGTCACTTGAGTTTATTCTTCAGGCTTGAACAAGCTTATTTTCAAAGCCAGTGCCCGAAATTCTTACTTTAAACACAGTGATAGTTAGTAATGAGACACCTGAGCAATATCATCTTTGTGTTACTGAGCAACTGGTTGCTCAGCTGCTCTGACTACAAGTCCCTAGGGTGTCTTAGGATGCAGTTAGCTAACATTGTTTGCAGGCAGTTGGTGTTTTGCTGTAGCTGTCTCTGCCTGAGTTCTGGAAAAAAATTCTAGCCTCTTCTGAAGTATTGGCTTTTATAGTTTAACTCATTCTAAAAATTCAACTTTTCTTTTTCTTAGCTAAAGAAAGGTAGCAAAGGCCGATAGTACCCCAAAGTAGGATGCCTCCTGTTTTTCCCTGAATTAGCTTTATGATGGTGCTTGAATTACTGCCTTGCTTTTCTTTGATTTTCATTCTGAAAATATAATGCACCTGTATTTGGAGAAGCTTATTTTTATGAGCAATGGAAGGTAAAGTTAGAATCAAGCTTAATAGCTGAGTAGAGCAGAAATTCTCATATTCCTGAAGTATTTTAAAGGCCATTCAACTCAAAACACAAGTTGTATAAAAGCTCTAGGAGTAGATGTTTTCCTTAACCTTTGTATCCTTTGTTATAGATCCTTGCTGGATTTAGCTGCAGCCATCAGGCTACAGGCTGCTGCATACAAGGTCTTTGCTTTGATACTCTTTGGCCTTTTTTGTGTTATTACATAACATAATAATGGGATTAAATATTTTGAGAAGGCAGAAGTGCTAACAAGATGATCAAAAGTAAGTTGTATTCCATGACTTCTTTATCCAGCACTTTATTCTTAAAGTTTATTACCCTCAATGCTTAAAATCAATCAAACGTTACTCAGCAAGTGGTGCTGTCAGAATCTGTAACTAATTTTTCAACTAATGAGGTCTTGGCTGTTTACTTGAATAGTTGCAGATTTGTTTCATCCATTAGGTTTTTGCCTGAAATAAAAAGGGATTGTAAAGATGCCGTTGAATTAGGAGCCTGTGACATGTATTGCCTTCCTTTGAACCCTTGATGTGCAACTGAACTGATAATTGAATTTAGAAAGAAACCTGTCAGCACTGATGGTTTGTTTTGTAAGATTGTCCTTACACATCAGGAAGTAGCAAAGCAATAAAGTTCCAATTGAAATAAATTGAAAAGCGTAAATATTTGCAATGTCAAGGTGCAGCAGGATTGCCGAAAGGAAACATTGTTTCAATAAAGTCAGACTGTATTTGGAATGTGTTTTTCTGGGGTTTTTTCTGTGTTCTATTTCACCTTATGCTGTTTCACTTCGATGCTTGGAAATGGGATAGAACTGAACAGAACAGAATTGAGCAAAACTGAATAGCTGAAACCGAGAAGGTGTTTGTGTCTTCCAAACGTAACGTGTTTTTTCTAAACCTTGTCAAAATGCTCGACTTATGCCAACAAACTAGGTGATGGAAGCTGTCTG